GGGGGGATATCCTTAACTATTCTAGTTTTTGAAGTTCTAGCCCAAACTTCAAAAACTAGAACAGTTGAGGGTAAATAGCGCTCAAATTAGAAATTTTCTATGTATTCAAAAGAAATAACAAATTTACCATCACATTCACTCTCTTTGGCAACATCCAAAACTTTCGCTGAGCCAAAGCTTCTCCTAGCCGTGCTACTTTCAACTCAGTAAACTTCTCCATGATGGATTTCTGCGCCCGAGGTGGTTTGGACATCTACAGAGAACAGAGTCACAGACAAGCACTTTCTCGCCATTTAAGACGTTAAAATATAACTCACAGGCCAAGGAATAACGGAAACCTCATTTCGCGGTGGGACATCACTCCGCATTCGTTTGTACGGCACAATGGCAGTCGAAGGAGGTTCCACTGGACAGCGACTTCGAGGAGGAGATCGGAGTTCCTCAAACGTATTTACGTCAGACAGTAATCCAATGAGGACTGTTACAAGATTGTTACAGTATGGGACGCTGATTACACGTTTGGGCAAGCGGATTTATTAGCTCGCACCAAGACCTGATGTAAGTGATTTAACGTTCCAATCAGCAGTGGGTCAAGTGGCAAGAATTTGTAAGTTCGTCGACCTTGCCACAACATGGAAGGAGCGTCCTACACCAATAAGTCCTGCGTTCACACGTTGCAACTCGGCGTTTTAGCAGAATCGGCATTTTTAGCGAAGAGTAGAGCATAGGTATCGATTCTAGCTTTTAAGCTAATCAGCGTTTCGAACAGAACCGCGTTTTGAGCGCCTGTCAAAAACAATACCTCCTTTCCCGCTTAAAACGCCGAGCCGCTAAAATGCTGATTCTCCTACAACGACGAATTGCAAATTATGAACGCAGTTTGAGAAGAAATAAATGGATAAAACAGTTGAGGAAATACATCCACTGCGGCGTCTTCCGAAATAGACTTTTCTAGGAAAGTTATGAAATCAGGATCTTGCATCGGAGTACCGTCTCTTTCAGGTGGGTTTAGCATCTGCTGGGTAGTGACCTGAAACAGCAGTTGGTGATTGGTTCAGAAATTAACCACATAATCCTCTACGGAATGATAACGAGTAACCAGGAATAAGACGACAGCTGGCTCACCATTGTGAAGTTATCCGTTGTAGGAAAACCTTCATTTTCCGTTCTGAAATCGTGGCCAGAATTGCATCGACTTTGCAGTGCAAGCACTTCCTTTTGGTCAAATTGGAAGGTAAGTAGGTCATTTGATGATGTATGAGCTTAAATTGTCGTTTTGAGGAATGTTCATGCTCCCGACTTGACTAGTTGAAAAAACCGCGAAATGAAGACTGTACAGTTTCCATTCTCTTGAATTTCTATTCAAAACTCCATTGAAGGAATCTGCGTGGCCGCAAGTCAA